AAGCGGGGGGAAGGCGGCCTTCGTCAAGCGACTGACGAAACACCAAGTGTAAATGGTTTGCCAGTGTGGAGGACGTTTCTTCCAGGATCCTTGGATGGACCTCGTCGGGCCCCAACGCGCAGAATGGGTTGATCTTTTGCAAGAGTTGACGAATGTCCTCCACCGCTGACCCAGCAAACACACGGCTGTGACAGCAAGAAAATTTTCAGGCTCAGCATGCACACATTTATTGGGCAAATTTTTCGCTCATTTCGGTTAGTAGCTGCTTGGAATGATCTTCCTCTGGCGGTTGTCCACACTCCCTCTAGAACCCAGTTCAAAGCACTACCAGACATTTATTTATGCGAATCCTCGCACTGGCAAGCATACTGCCCCGCGCTGAGAACATAAAGAGCAGTGCTACACCCTTTTTTCACTTGTGCCTTTCAGGTGGACGACAGCCACTGACCGACAAGAACAAAACCGACTCGAGAAACTTGCGCTCAAGCCTCGATCCTGTGTATCAATCCGTGAATCCGTGATTCCGTGCGGCCTTGACTCAAGGTCAAGGCGTGCTCCAAATACCGCGTCGTTCGCAGTGGAGGTGCCGGTACGTGAAGTAACATTTTAACCGGGAAAGTTGAAGAGAAAGTGGGCGACGTCGCCCGGACTTGAACCGCAGACCATCAGGGCCCCTCCCAAGCTTACCCCGCTCGGCCACCAAGCAACGAGCGGCCGTGGGTGCAAACCTCTTCTAAGCAGCTGTGCCTCGTATGCAGTGGTTGTATGTCTCGGTATGGATCACGTGACTGGGACCAGCCAATCATTTGCTTGAGTTTGGCTTGTGCATGAAGTGACTTCCGCCGGTAGCTGCACAGCGGAGCACAGGCAACCAATCGCTTTCGAATCAAGCACAGCACGAAAGACTATTTTGGCCGTGGGTACCCGCGGTGGTCAAAACTGCTCGACCAAATTACGTTGGATACCCAACGTAAGTCGGTCTCACTTCGGACCTGACTTCCTGCTATTTCCCGTGTAATTTTGCACTTCTATCGCTTTGTTCGAACCACACCCCGGCTTTCCAGTTGATACATGTAGGCTTGCACTCCGGTGGTATACCATCCATGACGCTCGACTTGGCCGCCGGACTGTGAGTTATGTGGAAGATTCGATTATACGAAGCTTAATTTAATCATTTCTTACTTCGTTTCTTTGAGTTCCGTTGTACGTGAAGGCGACGGACCGTTGATCCCTTATAATTGTGGAATGTTGCCTGGTAAGGTAATATCGTCATTGCACAGCTGCAATTGGCGTAAATCTTTTTTCTGCGGTGGATTTATTTCTTTCGCTTGGAGTTAGTCCCTTAGCAAAAGGCGACAGAACTGTCGTTTTGACACAATATGGCCGCGGCGGCGATATCGGGGGCATCTGTTCCGGCAACCAGCGGTTTTATTGCTACCAGAAAGGCCATATCAACAACCAGCGACTATGATGCTGCACGCAGGTACATCAAGCACCGGATAACCAACAGATTGAAGGTTGACAGGGAAAGCTGCTGTATTTGGAGGGTTCGAGAGACGGAGAAGGATTTCAATGTAGACTATAGCCGCTCCCTATTCAAGCGGATTCGATCAATCGGCCACAACACTAACTAGACCTCAGCTACCATTCAGAGATCCGATTGCCTTACTCTGGTACACGAGCCCAGGCTCCTATATCAAACGCTTCCTACCGGCTCTGCTATAGTGAGTCAGTGAATGACAGGCCTCCGCATTGTCGCGATAGCTTTGGGTGACAGTGCTAATAACGCACTTGCCACCGTGGATCCAGTACCATAGAGGGCCACAGTGGTTCGTTCTATATGAGTGTTTGTGAACTGGATTGTGAGTCTTCTGCGCTCCCAACTCTATCAGAACTAACCATTAAAGCCGAGTTCTACGAACAGTTTCAGCAACAAGACTTCGACAAGTGACGTCCTGATAGTAGTGAGTGACTGCAATTGATCCGGTGCACGAGTCAATAGGTCGCGCCGTTCGGATTGGGTTAGCGCTCATAAACTTTACCCCTCTTACTCAGCTCGTTGTTAGCGATGTCCCTTCGGGTACACCGTCCTCCATGTAGACCATATTCTTGTACGGACACGACAGGGCTCATTGAGGATTGTAGATGTTATGGAGGTGTCGATTCTGAAATTTCAGGAGATGCGGATCATATGTTTGTGCGTGCTAGCATTGGGCTTCGCCTTGACGCCGGACGACTGGGTCGTTCTTCAAAGTGCATTAGCACCAAACCCATCTTTCTCCAAGGAGGTCAACAGGTGTTTTCAGATGGATGTCAACAGCTTCACTCATTCAAATAGCCAGTTCCACTGAAAGTCCTTATACGATAAGCGACTGCTGACAAGCTATTTTGCATGGAACCATTTCGAAACGACTATATCTTGAACAACAACTCCTGTCCGAAAAATCGAAGTTTTTTCAAAGCAGCCGATTTCTTAATCTTTGGTAGATAACCCAGCGCTCTTCCAGGAAAGGCTGCATCTGCTAGTCGGTTGCGGAATCAGGCATGAGATATGCTTTCGGCAAACGCTTCACGTGAGATGCTTCACGAGACTTCCTACCTCCACAAAGATTACGGTGCTAGCCAAATAGACGGTTTCTCAACGACTTCGACGAAAATGTGGAAATCTGGATGGAAAGCTTGAAACAGTTGTTAAACCACCCACTACTACGGATGATGGACCTTGAGACCAGTGAAGGGGCAAGTAAACCGGGAACCTCTGTGATCGCCAAGCAATTCAGAGCAATAAAGCTCCCGAGGAAGTCGGAATATTGATGTATATTTCGCATCTCAACCCTTGAACCACAAGCTGTTTTGTTCAACCTGGAGAGTAATCTGTTCCTCGGGAGTGAGGACCGCCTCCATGAAAAAAAAACGATAGAATGATCCCTGATAACTACTGTTGAATTAGACTCAGTGATACTGCTGCTGGAATGTTAACGTCCCCTGGGCGCAGTTTTTGGGGGAACACGAGTTGCATGAATGAATCTACACCAGGGGTTCCCTTCTGGATTGGGCTCTATGGATCAGATATTCTCTATGATGAACATGAAGACATCGGTTAAGATATTTCGCACCCTAATACCGTTACGCTTGTGTCAGTTATTTGTAAAACACTAGAGGGTCCTCCTAGTTGATCGTGATACGGTAGAGTCCATAAATCTCATTCAAGGCTCTTGATGCGGGTATATGGCAAAGATCTCATCGAATTCGATATCGCGTATGGCATACAACAAGGCTTCCCACCATCACTAGTCCATAATTTCGCTATCGGTGCATGCATTGGCGTGTGCTCTGGCGTCCTCAAACTTGGATTGCTGGCTTGGAATACGATGTCGGTGTTTGGTTGAGTGAGTTCGGGCGGGGGGGGGTCCGAACCAATTACACAGTCCTCATCGGATTTGAAAGTAATACTGCAAAGGCCGAATTTTTCTTCACCTTTTCAGCCTCTAAACGTAACGGGTGATTAAGTTGGGTAAATCGTTGGCTTAACTTATCTTGTCTCCGTGGTTTTACCAGACAAACGGGCTAAAGTGGAAATTTAACGGAGCATTAACCATGCATAGCGTTTCCTTAATGCAGCTGAACACCAACTTGAGAAAAACAAATTAGCATGTGCACGAAGATCCGGATGCGCAACGTAGCCATCCACCCTGTCCTGATGTATACCTGCGAATCGTGGACTCCCCTATCAGAGGATATCTCACGGCTTGAAGTTTTTTACTTTTGCTGCCTTTAATGTGTTGTGGATTTTCACTGTTTAGAGAGGTAGTCCATCGATTAGATCTGAAAACATTGTCTATACTTATGACTTCAATGTTGACTTCTACAGTCCCGTGATAAACCTCGATAAAGCTCAGTGGCTAAGGCGCCACCCTACGGACAGGACGGTCCTTGGTTCGAACCCAACCTCAGCGTCTCGACTGTTCTTGTCTAAGCTTGGCTTGGACAACAGTATCCCTCCTTTCCTTAGCATGGTAGTGAGGCACCGAAAGAGTGCTACAGCCGAACGATCGTTCTATAATCTTTGTCTTTTGTTAACGATATTGAAATTACCCAACCTATCTTATCCTTTCCTTCACGTCATGGACGATGTTGTAGTCACCGCGGTCATCTAAGAATCTGGTTCAGTAGTCAAGGGCGACATAGGGCAACTCGGTCTACATGTGGCCTACAATGTCCGTCGCGGGAACCAGCGCTGGATCACGGTTTGTGCATGGCGCCTGATCGCAGTGCCTGGACAGCATGTATCGAGACATTCCTTAGGCTGACTGTTCCGGTTTCAGAGTCTCCATTAAGTAAAAAGGCAGTGACGTTGCTCGTGGAACTTATTCTTTAGCGGCACAATGATTGTAGGGTGTAGGCCCTACATAGTGTGAGCGGAGAAATTCAAAACTCTCTCTCAAAGCGATTGTGGGTGAAGTGAGTTTCGTCCGCCCGGTGCGACCGATGTTTGATAGGAGGAGCTACTGCATGAACTCGACGCACCTGAACTCTGATCTGAGTGTGCCCAATTCCGGCGTACGGGCAGTGTATGTACACTAAAGTGATATAACACTGGTAGCCCCAGTGTTCAACAGCGATGTTACTTCATACAACATGCGCCGCTCATCAAGTGTCCGACCCAACTCGTATGTTGGTCATCCTAGCTGCCGGGCCGTAACAACGTGTGCCTTCTGGGGACATCATAGAATGGTTTCCACCACGGGATGGGTCTTGCGGCGACACCCAAATTAACAGCACTCGTGCAAACATTTATCTTACTGTTTTCAGTTTCACTTACGTTTGGGCTTCGTAATACGCCAGATTTTACTGTGCGTATCTTGCATCTTGTTTCCACACAGCTTTGAAAGACGATAGGATCATGATGTCGACACGTCTGGTATTTACTCGGTGGGAACTCTGTAGTGTTCTCTGCTACGTCTTATGGTGAGTCTCACTCACGACTTGCAAAGTCAGCTTCCTCTGGGTACCTTCCCTACTTTAGGGTGCATGTTTCTCCCGTTACAGCACGTCTGGTATCCTGGCTGAACGTCCTAATAACTACCTAGATATGCCAATATGCGGTGGCGTTGGTGCTGCCAGATTACCTACAGCAGAAGAGAAGAAAAAGCTTGAACCTATTGTAAGCGTCGCTTTCGTTATGCAGTTACGGGCTCTCTGTTCACAGCTTTTCCAGTCGCTGCACACACAGCTCGGCTTTAAACCAACTAGCGTGGAAGTAGTCCTGGTGGCTACCCAACTCGTGGCTGGGACAAATTACTTTGCTAAGGTACTTTCACGTCCGGTCCTTGGCACATTTCTCCTACAGGTTAAGGTGAATAACGATCACTATGTCCACACACGTGTCTACGAGAAACTGCCTTGTTATGGTGGAACACTGGAACTACATGCTGTTCAAATGGATAAAACTGACACAGATCCGTTGGATTATTTTTGAGTTGTTCAGCCAGTGGCTTCGGTTTGGGTTCGCTTAGAGGAATATTTGCCTATGATTTTTGTGTTTTTGGGCACCGGACATTTGTTTTCCAGTTTTCCTGATGAACAGTGATACTGCTGCTTATTTTGATCATGGGGTTGGGAGAAAAAGTTTTTCCAAAACCTTAATTCTCTTGTCTTAATACCATTCCACCTGGTTTTGTGGCACCTTTCCTATCAGGATAATAAATAAATTCATGTTATAAAACAGGATTTGATGCTCCGAAAACTACATTTTATCTACCGTAAATTTTCTGCATCTGCAGTTGCTTTTTCTAAAGCCCCTTCCTTAAACTGGGGACGATCAGGCGATGAGTGTTCTGAGTCTCCTGGTAGTAGCAGCTTGTTCATCTTTTGCTCGTTTCTAATCCGCACGGGATGGAGAAGGAGCTCGATCAGATAGATAGCCCTCTGACTTTCAGTGCAGGTAGTTTACTGGGTGGATATCCCATTTGTCGAGCTATTTTCTGCTTCGGGCTGTTTTCTGACGCGTTGCCAATCGGATGTTCCAATCAGATCCGGATAACGCTGAGAAGACACTAATGATGAAATATAAGAATTTTTCGTGCTGTCAAAGGCAGTCTCCGAGTTGTAAGACAGTATGGATCACACGGTAGCAGTATATACCCTGCCCCTGCTAAACGTGCTGACATTATATCCAAATCATATGTATCGGAGGTTCACAAATGTCACTGCAGCCTCCCCGTTTTTTCGCCAGTTCATTGGGCTTATACAGCTTCTCAGGCGAATAAATTTATTTACTACATCTATCGGCTGGTTTACAGGTACGGGGCTTCAGTTTCCTCCCACCCAGTTTTGCAGTAGCACACTGCAGGTGTGAAACCCGTGTCGTAAAAAAATTGTCCAGCTGTAACACTCTTCCGGTGCCTAGCTGCCATGCCACCCGAAGGAAGCACGAGGGCTGGGATACTGCCGGGTTACCCAAGTCTAGACAGGGGAAGTCGAGAGGCAGAGATCGGATTCGAACCACGGACCCTCCAGTCAGTAAATTCGCGCTCTAACCACTTGAACCATCTCGCCCGTATCAAATCGAATGACATAATTTACAAAGGTACTAAAATGACTTCGATATATGAAAAGTGTGACTCGAGGAGAGTAATATCCTCCGCATGCTCACTGTCTGCGAGGGGATGCCCCAGGGGTGTCAGAGGCATGCATAAGCGGCCGTTTCTAGTGTACCCGAACGGAAGCTTACTCTAGACCGATACACATTCTCACGGGTCGGCGGATAGTGTTTTCAATGGAGATCAATTTAGCTCCGGTAGTGGAGTTCTTTTGGAAAGATTGAATGGTCATGTTAATGGTAACATCCTGTGCTTAGTTCACATTGTGATCGAACGATATTTCATTATGAAATTGAAATTTTGAGTTTAGAGCAATTCTTCTGCTACACGAAACCAGGTATTTAGTCGGCCTTCGAATGCAGGGCTTTCACAAGAACGGCCGATTTGATCAAGTCTCGCTTGTGGTCCTTATGTGTTGGACCGCTCTGTGATCCAGCGGGTCGTTGTAGTACTTAACTCTGTATCAAATCAATGACATAATTTACAAAGGTACTAAAATGACTTCGATATATGAAAAGTGTGACTCGAGGAGAGTAATATCCTCCGCATGCTCACTGTCTGCGAGGGGATGCCCCAGGGGTGTCAGAGGCATGCATAAGCGGCCGTTTCTAGTGTACCCGAACGGAAGCTTACTCTAGACCGATACACATTCTCACGGGTCGGCGGATAGTGTTTTCAATGGAGATCAATTTAGCTCCGGTAGTGGAGTTCTTTTGGAAAGATTGAATGGTCATGTTAATGGTAACATCCTGTGCTTAGTTCACATTGTGATCGAACGATATTTCATTATGAAATTGAAATTTTGAGTTTAGAGCAATTCTTCTGCTACACGAAACCAGGTATTTAGTCGGCCTTCGAATGCAGGGCTTTCACAAGAACGGCCGATTTGATCAAGTCTCGCTTGTGGTCCTTATGTGTTGGACCGCTCTGTGATCCAGCGGGTCGTTGTAGTACTTAACTCTGGCCACAGCGTCGCTGTAGCAGCTGTCCGTCAGGAAGTAGGTGTAAAATCGCCAACTAAATATCGAAGACCAAACACGGAGCTATTCCGCTAAACAGATCAGCCAGACATATCGTCATCATCATCATTGTCAGCTGTAAGAACCGTGTACTGGTCGTACGCTGGTTGTAGCTGCCACAGTTTCGTTCACTGATGATGGGGGGGGGTAGGTAGCTGCGCATTGCACGCGCGAGCTGGTAAATTGGTGCATAAATNTGCCAGTGGGTTGTCACGCGGTGGGCGGGGGGTTGGAAAAGGAGCTATGCATTGAAGGCAATAGCTTTGATGCATGAGCGCCATTGTGGGCGCGACTGGGTCATGTCTGATAATGTCTCTAGCCATTGATGTGGCCCGTCTCGGGGTCCCCATCCAGGAAGACGGCAGTGACCAGCGCAGCTGAGTTTGCTGGTAATGGCTGCCAAGTCATTGTTTGACCGCCAGACATATTGGGATTCTGCCTAGTCCGTGGTGTGTCGGGCTACCGAAAACGACTAAGTAGTCACGTGTATTAGCATACCATTAAGCGGTTCAAATAACGAAAGCCGCGAAAGGGGGATTCAGTATCAACGGGGCGAGATGGCTCAGTTGTTAGAGCGCGAATTTACTGGACGGAAGGTCCGCGGTTCGAACCCGACTACCCCTATCTAGACTTGGGCGACCTGGGAGTATCCCATCCCTCATACGTCCTTCGGGTGGCATGGCAGCTAGGCGCCGAAAGGTGTTATAGATGAATGATTTATTTGATTTATTTATTCATGGTGTCAACAGTTAGATAGCTTAGGTGATTCGCAGTTTCTTTCCGTGTCTTCCTTCTAGATAAGGGTGAATGTGGATCCACGTTAATGGAATACGGAGGGTAGATTTTACTGGACGGAAGGTCCGCGGTTCGAACCCGACTACCCCTATCTAGACTTGGGCGACCTGGGAGTATCCCATCCATCCCTCATACTTCGGGTGGCATGGCAGCTAGGCGCCGAAAGGTGTTATAGATGAATGATTTATTTGATTTATTTATTCATGGTGTCAACAGTTAGATAGCTTAGGTGATTCGCAGTTTCTTTCCGTGTCTTCCTTCTAGATAAGGGTGAATGTGGATCCACGTTAATGGAATACGGAGTGTTGCTATCACAAACCTGCGTATCTTCTGTGACCCGAAGTCTTTACGTCCACCTGGACCGAATATTACTTGTCCATCGATGCACACAGGACGATTGACGAAGTTAACTGTTCTTCATTCATGAGCTTGTTCAGCCGTCTGCTTGCCCAATAAGTGGAAGACAACTATGATGGTTTCAAAAATGCCTTTTATCCAGTCATGTGTAGATTGTAGCTCGTAAGTATTAGATCATATAGAGTTGCTGAAACTGTGCGATCAGGTGTGAAAATGGGCAAGGTACGGAACCTGTAGAATCTGAGTCCCCTTACCCCACAAATGTGATGGATGAGTCTCCCAAAGAGCACTATTTAGATTCTTCCGCACATAATCGGCATGAAAGATCTACCTGTAGTCTTAGACAGAATCTGCTTCCTGTTCGCAAATGATGTTCGTCATCAGTGATCAATGATTCCTAAATGATATTTTCATCTGGCTTTACCATCTGCCATCCACCACCTCCCATGAGTGGCCGCTTGTCAAATGATACAAGCTGTAACGAACGTAGCTGTTTCGCTGAACTACTCGGAAGCGGTGATTGATCGGATTTTCTCAGCACTGACTCAGTGCACAATAGTGTCCTGCAAAACACAAAGAGCGTTTTTCGTACTCAATACGGCTGTTACGAGTTGTCATTTCTATGTTTCTATTACACTCTGTGTTTGTCCGTCTAAACATGAGCTTCAAGATCAAGGCGCTGGACGAGCAAAATGTTTACTTAGAGAGGTTGAAACGATTGAGAAGCAATTTGATTGCCGTACACAGGATGGAAAACGGCACACTGTTTTTAAAAAGAGTGGTTGTAGGAGAGATATACAGTGATATGGTGAAATACCGCCGCATAATACACACAGTCTCTCATGTAGTATCTGATATCACAATGAGTTGTAATTCGCTTAGCTCCTAAGAGAGCATCGACTGGCTTTTTGGTAGGATTCTCTCCAGATATCGTCTAACCTCAGTGATGGCATGCACAACAAAAACGCCTTTTTCCGAGCGCTTTTTGTCGCCTAAAGCGTATTGTGTCTTATCTGAACTTTGCATGACCAACTCTACACACAGTGGCTACGAGTCTGTTGTTGTGCGTGTCGCTCCGTCAGTGTCAACTGACTTTTTTCCCTCGGACCAACTTCTGCGAAGCGAAGCTGACCTACTTATGAATGACTGTTTTCCCGGCGAAGCCATTGTAACCGAAGCTGAAATCTTCCATGAACAGGCCTTAACACGCTGTGGGATCGCCTATAGAACCCCCTCCGTTTCCCTGGATTACCCTTGGGTTTGAATTTAAAGGCATAGTACAAGTTACAGTTCGTTATCGTCTGAGTTACGTGTATCTGTTTCGTTAGATTTTGGTGATGCTAATCTGCCGAAAAGTAGATCTGCGCAAAATCGGAGAACCCAACACCGTCCATGTTTGAGAAGCACCGAAGATAAACGGGTTCAAATCCACTTTTGAGCTGTCCAGTCACATCCTTGGTTCTCCCAAGGGCATCCACTCTTGGGAATTGAGGAGGTATCGTAACCTCAACGTAATGACAAATATGTAAATTGCGTTTTATCTAAAAGAGATTGTATGTATTACTTAGGAGTTTTAAAACGTCACAGCAACCTCAGACAGACAGAAGTAAGTTCCAGCGCTTACTTTATAAATCCAGCAGCTATTTTATGGTGGTACGCAACAAAAATCAGATTGCTATCAAACGCACCGACTTCACTTCTTCAACTGGCATCTGTGCACGAATCGACTTCATGAGTAGTCTGTTGTCTAATGATTTGGTGAGGAATCGCAAGTCGAACGATTGAAATTAAGGGTCAACTCGTTATTTGTTCTGGTGGACCGAGTGCACAAAGTGTGAACGAATTGGTGGCTTCCAAACTGCCGAGCATCTACCCTACTGGACAACCTACCGTTGATGTCATATCAGTTGAACCTGAAAATTACGTGTGATTTTGAAGCATTGCACTTGAATTTTTGGGGCATCGGACTGAGGATGCTGGATTTTCATCAGTGAGCGGGCCGTCCATACATTTGACTTGATTTGGCTGAACTAATACAAACATGTTCTTCCTATAGTCACTGTCTCACTATGTACCATCCACTGCTGCAGAATTCGCCCATGAGAACTAATACAGGGGTTGAAGTCGTTTCTCAGTTCCAAGTATCGGGAATACTCCATCCAGTTATGCCGGCGTCAGTTTACCAATGGCCTTCAGTTGTGCCCAATGACTAATCTGAAATTATGCGTCTACCATCTGTTCCATCATTAGTTCGTTTTTTCCGCATTCACGACTTTACTGTTGAATATTGTGGTGCCATGACCATCACTGTACACACGTTACTCACGTGTACCGATGTTTGCGTCCTCATCTGAAGCCTTCAACTGTAGCACCCCTCCAGTGCCTAGCTGCCATGCCACCCGAAGGAAGCACGAGGGCTGGGATACTGCCAGGTTACCCAAGCCTAGACAGGGGAAGTCGAGTGGCGGAGGTCGGATTCGAACCACGGACCTTCCGGTCAGTAAATTCGCGCTCTAACCACTTGAGCCATCTCGCCGCCTCATCTCCCGTGAACTGAAGAAAGTGGACGGTCTTTATTAGGAACTGCACTAAACTAGATGCACTCATTATGACCGGATTTGGCGCAGAAGTTTAGCTCCCTTTGTTTTTGACTTCTCACCCCTATACATTGGAAAATTCGGATGGCAGCCATTCCTATATGGGCTGGTTCCAACCACAAAATCATGATTGTTCACTGAGACATTTCCATCACAAAACTTTAATGAATCCATGCCTGGACCTCAAAAGCGCTTGTTTCTTTCGTCTTCGGTGCTTCTGTGGTCGTTGCCATCCTTGGTTTGAATGCTAAGTCCGCCACATTAAACTGCTTGTTTAACAGCACCAATCAGTGTTAGTTTCCCCTTACGTTCCCTCAACTACTTTAATCCCCCTTGACCCATGCTCGATGATATAATTCTAACTGTGATTACACCTTGCAGTTGTGTTCCAGGATAAGGTCTTTTTTCTCATCTGTCGGTTTTGGTCCGTATGAGTAGTTGCCTCACTGTCGCGTCATCTCTCTCCGACAACCTTCAATTCTGTACTCTCCGACTAATATAGCATCGTCTTCCTACTTTGCTAACGTCCCAATCCTCGTGAACGAGGACTGCCGTGCTATTCACACAAACATTCAACCATCTAACCCGATTTGGTTTTCTGGTTTGTAATATCCCACTGGTCAATCTACTCACCCCATCTTTGTATCACAGATTGTAGTTTCATGACATATTCAAGACTCGTGTCTTACGGTCTTCGTTATATTTGAAGCTCACATCGCCAGATTTCTTTGTTGACGCATATCCTTTCATCATTCGTTTCTACGCACAAGGGTTTCTGCCCCTTGACGTACCCTTTTTTATAACCACCGGCTGTCAAGTTCCCCTAGGACTATCCTGTTTGTTTTATCGTTTTCTCAAAGACCATTGTCGGGTATCTGTTCTCCATCCCATTGACATTTCCAAGAACATCCAAGGTTGTTTAGCCTTGATGTGTAGCAATTGCGTCTTCTATGAATACCCCATCTACCTAACGAAAGGATTTTGTTTGGATTTTCGATTTCGAATGCGTTGAGTTCCACAGGTACAAAATAGTCCAGTCGTGGCAACTTTCACGCATATCTACGGCTGCGTATGGTCTACCTTTGTGACCTAATTTTTGTATTGCATTCAGCTTACTGCTTGTGTGTATCGTCAGTTGTTGGACCTGTGTTATCCACACACTCTCAATTCACTGAGCTAAAATTCCTGCTCCAGGCTACGTGTGATGATGAGCTTCACTCACGTTCCTCAAAAATCCACTCCTGGTTATTCCCAGTCTTATAAGGTCGTCTTTATCTCGTTACAGCGCCCTGTTTGCTCCACCTAAGGACTAATAACTGCTCAATCATGCCACTGTGCGGAGGTGTTGGTGATGCAAGAACGCCTACGCCAGAGGAGAAGCAAAAGCTAGAAAGTGTGGTAAGTTCTCCATTTACCTCTATCCGTTTTTCTTCCAAAGCTTCACCAATCGTTACACACACATCTTGGCTCGAAACCAGATAGTTTGGAAGTTGTTCAGGTGGCTACCCAAGTCGTATCGGGGACGAATTACTTTGCCAAGGTATGTTTTGTCATCCTAGCGTTGGTTCATTTTTCGCACAGGTTAAGTTGAATGGCGACAACTACGTTCACGCACGTATCTACGAGAAACTACCCTGTCATGGAGGCACCACCGAACTGCACTCGATTCAGAAGGATAAAACACACGCGGACCCGTTGGGCTATTTTTGATTGAGTAATCTAGTCATCATATGTGTCCTTTTCTCCACACCTTTTTTGAAAGTATTTTGGAAGGACATTCCTCCTCTTTGTCGCCATGTTTGTTTTTTTGTTTGCCTGCTTTATCCAGTCCATTCTGTTATCAGACTTTACAACTCACTCTAACATTGAATATACGGGATGATTTTCTGTTGGTTATCGGATTTTGACGAAATATAAATTATGACGAGTTCAAATTTCATTAACGACTGTGGTTTTTGACCTAATGAATACGGAGTTTGAAACCCGACCCAGGACTGCGCAGGACATCGAGCGAGCAACAATTTGGATACCGCCGAAGCTTTTAGCAATCGATCAATCAAACGTACCTCCTACCGAGACTTTTTCCATTGTTATACACTGGGACCCTTGCGACTGGACTCTTCGAAGATGTCGCTTTCGACAGGAGGTGGACGTTTTGTATGTGATCCGTTCTCGTGCTTTGGGATCTAGACTGATTGGGCGTTTGTTCGTTATTCTCAGCTTAGCGACAATTCACGGGGAAACTTGGCTACTTGAAGGCTGTGAACCCGGTAACCGTAGGTCCCAAAAAACCGACACATCCGATTCGAAACACCCAACATAAAGAGTCGGACGCATCAAAGGAATTCTACAGAATGTAGCAGACACATATGGACCGATTTCGTTAATCGGTCATTGATTGAATCAAATGTATTATCATCGAAGACTCTCCTATCGTAATATACAATGCTCCTAATTCACTCAGAGATACTACTGCTGTATAAAATCCTATGGTCACATTTCCTGTATGATTGAATCACAATTCTAAAAATCTGTGACGAGAGAGCGCCAGGTGAATTTCTCGGCATCAAATCATCCACGCTGTTCAACTAGCCGCAGATAAACCCAGGGGGCGAGATGGCTGAGTGACTAGAGCGAATTTACTAACCGGAAGATCCGTGGTCCGAACCCGACCTCTGCCTCTCGACTTCCCCTGTCTAGGCTTGGGCAACCTGGCAGTATCTCAACCCTCGTGCTTCCTTCAGGTGGCATGGCAGCTAGACGCCGAAAGGGTTACAGCTGAACGTTTATTATCTATAGACAGACCAAGGCTGAACACACTTCCGAGGTTACTTGCAACTACTGAACAGTCCATGACCAGTTTCGTGAACGTTTATTATCTATAGACAAACCCAGGCTGAACACACTTCTTCCGAGGCTACTGGCAACTACTGAACAGTCCATGACCAGTTTCACCCTTCTCGGTGCCCATCGGGTAGTCTCATTCCCCGGGCTTCCGTCAACCTCATGTTGTACGTGGACTCAATTCTGGTTTTTGCGACGTTTTTTTTACCTGATGAGCCCCAAGAAGGACAATCTGTAGTGGTCTGTCGCAGAGCTCTCAGCAATCTTATGAGTAACCTGTTCAGTTTAGAGCACGTACCACAATATCTTGAATATCGTACCAGCTGAAACATGAGGCGGCCTGGTTCGGTCCCCTGTCAAAACCGAAATGATATACAAATGTGTGTATTTGTCGAAATTATTAACGTCCATTTTATCAAGAACAAAAAATCACCAATAATATCTGTTCAGGACTGTCTTATCTGTTTCTGTGGCAAGGGGTTTTGAGGACCATACAATATAGTGGAAATACCTTTCTTCAACATTGAATATACCGTTTGATGCTCATCTATCACACGTTAATGACAATGTTTTCCTCCAGGCGAAAACAGCTTTTTCAGTGAAACCCTCTTTTCCACTCGGGTCTGAACACTCAAAGCAGTTTTGTTTTCAACTGCTTTGCTGCTACGGAGCTCAAGTGTACGAGAAACCATTGACAGCCTTTTTCTGATGAAATTCGTCCTTTAGAGAGAATTGTTAAGCTGCTGCCATAAAAAGTCTCCCATATTTATTCAACGCGTCGTGAATTCACTACCATCTTTTGACGATTCTGTCCACTTCCTTCTGCGCGGTAGTCAGCAGTCGGACCTTCTTCATCTTCGGCAATTCACATAGGACTCATGCCGAGGGATTTCTTAGGAACTTACCAAGATGGATTAGCTAGAATTCCATCCACAGGCATTTCCATTCTACCATAGGTGTTGCTCAGTCCAGTCTGTCAGTAGAGAAAAATTCGTCCTCTGCTCATCCCCATCATCAGCGATGCGCGTGTCATCGTTCTTATGCAGATAATATCTCAGCACCGAACATCACTCACTATCGAGGACATTCCGTTTGTGATCGTGGTAATGGTCGGACGTGTGGACATATTCCTTCTGGAGATCAGCTGAATGTTACCGATTAGATAAGAGAACTAACCTTGATAGCAATTAGCACTCACAGTTCTTTACCACTAAACCCAAAGTCATGACAATATTTACAAAAATAGTTTTATCCTTCGAAGGAATACCTTCAGGCAGAAAAAGGGTGATTTTCTCTGCCTTATTTGATATATTTTGGAATCAGCAAATATGCCACTCTGGTGAGACTTCCTGAAGAAACTGGTCAAACCGAGTCCATATGGGGCGATTTATACCTGCTGAGAACTGTCTTCCCAGAGAGGGGCAAACCAAGGAACCACCAGCTAAACTTGTCGTGCTGTTCAGTACCTACTCCGCGAGGTTTATCCTCGCCAGAAAGATCTTAGGGGAACAACCCGAAAAAAAGCAGGAGGCGATTGTACTGGTGTGATTTGGGTTCAAATTTGTACTGCTTCCCGCGACAGAGGTGTGAAGCAAATAGAGTGTTCCTCCAAAACCACAGGCAGTTCAACATTGACTAGCTATGCTGCCTTCCCCAGAGGGGAGACGAGTTAGAAAACACACCTGCAGTGTGTAACAGAATCAGGAGAGCGACATCAGGTCCTTCATCCTTCGTTCCAGGCCAGCTATCTACCAGTGGACCAGACTATGGAGTTACTGATGCCCCTTTAATGTAGAGACCAGGTACTAGGCTATCGAACGGATCCATGTGTTAACTGTATGTCTCACGGGCACAATTCTTGACTGAAAGGCCCAAGGTAGGATACCTAAAACAAAGCCGCTTTCATTTAATTTGCTCTAAATACCGTGGCTTTACCAAACAGAACCCGCTATGCCAAGTCCACATTCGTACACTGTCAAATCCTTCAACAGCTTGTTCCTTCGGACACCATATTAGCACTTCATGTCAAAGTATGTTTTTTTACGGCAAACAGGTGCATGACTTCGAAACATCTCAATACTGCACCCTTTAGATTCCAGATGATTCTGAATCAGCGATCGGGGCAGTGTTGGGACTTGGTCCCACTAAACAGTCATCTTTCTGCTTTTGGTACTCAAGCTTACGCAAGAGCAACGCAACTTGGGAAAATAAGGGACATCTGCTGGTAGCATCGACGTTTGCCTCAACAGAAATGGGCGTTAGAGCAGGAAAAATGCCTTCTTCGGGGGTTGGTTCTGCTTACGAAAAGCCTTGATATCTTGACATCCCTAGGGCAGCCAATCGGACGAGTCGTCGAGAAGCTTGTGTATGAGTGCTTGTCGCACACACAGCTCGCGGTAACGCCTTCAGCTGTGCGCTGACGATCAAATACTTCTGGTCAGTACACGGCTTGGTACCTAGAACATAGATCAACAGCAGACTCATTCGGAAATGAGGAAATCTGCTACCGACTGAAAGCAGAAACTCAAGATTATTGCCCCTTTTAGAGAATGCGGTTTGACTTGAACTTTTCCTTTCATCAAGACTGTGTGGGTCGACAAACTTGGCGTCAATCCATTACCTGTGGCAGACCGCTGTAGCCTGAGGACATCAGTACGAGCTGGGTAAAAACCTGACGCAAGGTAATGAACACAGTGCTGTTTATGAACCCAATCAAGAGAAGACTCTTTCGAAACTTCCCGAATCTGTTCGACCGCTCTAGCGAGAACAAATTGGGACCGAATTTCCTAGAAGTCGGATGTCACAACAGTTATGCCAGAAGAGACCGGTTGGTACAGCATATATAGGTTGCTGAACTATGATTTACTACCCCAAGTTGGGGAGTAACAACGCGGAAGATGGATAAGGCTTTCGTTTCAGAGGAAAGTCAAACTCAACTTTTCCTGGTTTAGATGATTGGTAGGAATGAACTTGAAATTAATGAGGTAAGCAGATGGAAATGCAGCTGTTCATCTATTCTCGGACGGTTGGTCTAGAAAAATGGACCGAACAATTTTGTTGCAACACAGCTCCTTGTGAAAAGATGAAGGCCTGTTGCAGCACAGCTCCTGGTGAAAGGAAGAAGGCTTTCACTGCGGAGTTATTTATTAGAAAATGCCAACTGACCAGCTACAGACTATTGGACAGGGAAGCAAAACTCTCATTTGCATCTTATTTACAAAAACTGGACATCCATCTTCTCCTGAATGCATCTTCTTGATCTTTCTTGGATATTCATTGACTCCAACCATTCATTGCTCAAATTCAAGCAAATGCTACAAAGCGACTCCTCAATTTCCGCAATAAATCTCCCTTTTCAAGAGACGCGAAGCGAATTTACAAGAAGAAAACATACTACTCGCATGCCTCCCCATCAGTAGAATCACCGTTACACTGTTACCACCCAACATGAAGGATGGGACTTAGAAATCACCTTATCCCAATGGAAGGAACGTATGACACGAAGTCTTTTTTCTCAGCTGTGACAATGCTTGTTGAATCTAGTACATCCACAGAAGACGGTGATACTTCGTGGTCAATTTAACAGGACTGTTATGGACAGCATGGAACGAAGAACTCACAATCCAAGGGAATAAGAACGACGTGCGGAAGGCATCATTTTAACAGCACGAGAGCTGTAGCCTCCTGTTCTTATTCTGCACGGTTCAGTACAACATCATGAGGTAGAGCTTAGTGAGAGCCAAGCTGGCTTGTACCTTTGACTTGGTTTTGTAGACCACTATCCGGCAATCGTTGGAACAACTGGGACGATGCTCACGATTTCTGCTGTCAACAGTGGTCATTTTCCTTGACTTTTAATCGGGATG